GCCTTGCTGAGATGCTCTGCTCGGGATTCTTAGAGGATACCGACTGAAGCAAAAGAGTGAGGAAAGTTCAAATGAGGGCCTCAAGGGCCTATTTATAGGAGGGCATTTAGGCGGGAAATGGGCCAACTTGCCTGACACGACCCGCGCTGAATCCGAGGCGACGGATGGGATCGCCGAGGCCGGCAGAGGCCGACACGTGGCGTAGGAAGGAATGACAGCTGGCAGGTCGGCTTGGTGGCTGACGGTTGGGCTTCTTCATCCCGTCCCGTTTTTTCCCGACTGATCAAAAAGGCCCGGGCTGGGGGGCTCTTGGTAGGGAATATCCCGACCGACATAGCTTCACCACGACCGAGGAGTCTTTGTCGTTTTCTCCTTGTCTTTGCAGGTGACAGGTCGGGCTCCACGAGAAGAACCCGGTCGTAGACCGACCGGAGTTGCCCGAGCGACGGTGTCGACCACCGAGCGGTAGCCCTTTGGCGAAAGAGCTGACGAAGGACACGTGGCGGCTCTTTACATCGACAGGCAGGGCACCCGGGAGGATGACACGTGGTGGCTACGTGGAGGACATGCCGAACGGCTGGAATCCTGTCCCCGGCATAGCGGCTATAAATACCCACAGTAGCTACAGTGTAAGGGACTTTTGGACGATCGATAGGTTGTTGTTAGAGAACACCGACCGCAGTCAGTCGGTACTCAGAACAACCAAGTAGATTGTACTTAGGGCCCTTACCGTGATCAATAAAGATTTTACTTGCTTTAATTGGTCTCGTGATATTTTATATTGCTTACGTAGAATTAGCAGTATCAACAGTGTATCTAAATCGACATTGTCTCATATATTATTTTTATATTATTAAATAAAACTGGAGTTGGTTGACTATTAGAAACTCATATGTGCGCAACAACACTTCTATAAGTGTTACCTCTGAATGAAGTTCAATTAAAACATTATTAGATCAGCTGATCAGGTAATATATAAATACTAGTAGAATAATAAACAAAACAAAAATCAATAGTACTTGCCAAAAATTAAATCATTCAATTGGGATTATTATAGTCAATAACATGTATTAATCTTAGTAGTTTCGTACCAAAATTTGAAATATTAATTAATAATTGAGTCAATACCTAATATAGTGCTCGACTATAGTGATTTTACTCAATTTAGTCCTAAATGACTTTTTGTGCTCAATTTAATCATCGACTTCGATGGTTTTACACAATTTAGTCATTTATTAAAAATTTTATTAATTGACTATTAGAAATAAGGTCCTAATGATAATTTCTCATCCATCATTCCATTTGGAATGATTCATTCTTCATGAACAGGCTTAAAAGGAGGCCATTTTCAGAATAAAACGAATCACTAAGTACAAAATGGAGGTTTGAGAGCATGGCGCGAAGCAAGGGGCTAAGTTAAAGCATGAAAATGGAGTTGGAGGCGCTCACGTTGTAGGCCACATCGTGGGCACCACCGTAACCTTGGGTAAGAGGATTCTGATCCTCAGGATCACACTACTACTCACACTGTGAGTGTCAGTGTGAAGCTGAAGATCAAAAAGCTGGTTTTGGCCCTCACAATCAAGGGACTTGTTATGTGTAACATATACTTTCTTTAAAACCTTATTTGCTATCTTTCAAATGTACTAGGTGCATTTTAGCCTAAGTTTCCTATTATAAAATAGATTTATGACGTAATAGTTGAGCAATAAAACTATTAAGTAACGACAAACGATTTTTAAACGACATTCGTGTACGCAGGTCGCGGGTACACATAAGTCAAGCCATTTCAAGCTCATTTTTTGAGTTTATTTGCAAACTCCAACCCCCCCCCCCCCCCCCAACCCCCCGTCGTGTGAGAGAAAGCCTCTATGCTGTACAATTCAAACTCCCCTAAATAGAGAATTGTATATATACTAGTACAAACCACTTTGTTAGTGTTTTGATTATAAACATCATTCATATAATTGACTATACTATGGCAAATTAGACGAGTGTAGGACAACACTACAAATAGAGTCTCTAGGGGACCAGTGAAGATTTAGAAACTTGCTAAACATCTTCACCGACTTACCTTCAGGACCTACGGAGTAGTTTTCCATATTCAAACTTTTTGAAACCGGAGGTTAAGAAGTCAGGTCTTTCACACTTCCCTTTTCCAATATATGTGGACAAAGGCTACTTCAAAGACTTTCCAATTCCATTTTTCTCAACTCAAAAGGTATACTTTGATAATCAATTTTTTATTCACCCATAATTATCTGTTTTGAGGGTATAACATATCGAATTAAACCTCTCACTTACGATAAAATTCTCTAGTTACATTTCTTAAAACAAAATTCTTGATAGATAACCTGGGAATATTTTTACATCTTTTTGTAACTCATAAGTACTCTTAATGTGATTTTTTTTTTATTTAGTCGAGACATTAAATACTTATAAAAAAGTTATTCCACACCTAAAGATGTTAGATGATTTAATTTTCATCTCCAATGGCGGATCCATTAAGTTTTTCTAGTGAGGCAAAAAGTTAAAATAAAAGAGAAAGTTTGAAAAAAATAAAAAATAAAACATGAGTATAACCATAAATATTGTTGGATATAGCGAAAAATAAAACATATCAAAACTTTATAAAACTATTTATAACAAAATATGAAACATAATTAATTTGACAAAATAATTCGAATATAAAATACATTATAAATATAAAAGAAAGTTATATATATGCACGCCAAAAAACTCAAACCCAAGCCAATGTTAGACCAAGACACATTTCTTACCACCTTGTCAAACAAATCTTTTGTTTACATAATCGTTTTTTAATACTTATACTATCAATGTACTATATATATATATATATATATATATATATATATATATATATATATATATATATATATATATAGTGAAAGGTTCCCGTGCGGAAGTGAAAGGTTCCCGTGCAGATGTGCGGTGGATTAATCTGCGTGAGATTTTGTACTCAATGTGCGTGAGTGTTGTGCCTAATGTGCCTGGGATTTGTACTTAATGTGCATGAATGTGTAAAATGCAGCAGAAAATATTGATGTCAGCTTCTTCCCCATCCCCAGTAGCCATTGCCCCCTCCCTGATGATGATGATGCAGAGGCGGGCTATGGTGGTTAAGAATTATGAGAATAATACAACAGAAATCCACACTTAGCTGCTGTGCAAATTTTACTGTGCGTGCGTCATCTATATAAACATTCAACTGCACTGAAGGTAGCTGATAATCCAGAATCTATGGCCAAATTGAAGGAAGAAGTAACAAGAAGCTTGGGCGTTAATGTGCGTGAGTTTTTGTTCTACTTCCTTCTGAGCTCGTAATTCTGAAATACTCACGCATATTAAGCACAAATCTCATGCACATTAAACACAATACTCAGGCACATTAAGTACAAAATTCACGCATATTAACATGACGCACATTAAGTACAAATCTCATACACATTGAGTACAAATCTCACGCACATTAAGTATAAACCTCACGCACATTAATCCACCACACAACCGCACGGGAAGCCACAAATGCACCTGATCCCTTCCCTATATATATATATATATATATATATATATATATATATATATATATATATATATAGGGTAGGGTTCCAGTGAGAACATGAGTTTAGGTGAGAACGTAAGAACACATCCTGTGCATCCGTGAAATATAATCTAATGGTCATGATTGAGTAATAAACATAGAATAGAATATAATGAAATAATTATAGAGGGCAAATTAGTAATGTAGTAATAATCTTTATATGGTCAAAATCGCATTTAATAATATTTCCATATAATTATGATCGTAAAAATAGTATATAAACGGATGATTGATATTAATCACGCAATATACCGGCGTTGAGCAGCAAGAACACAGTAGTAATGGATTCTTCTCCTCCGTTTGCGACCGACGACACATGTAAGTTAGTTTTATGATTTTATGAGTGCGGTAGTTGTGTGTTTGTAGTTGTATTGTTGTGTGATGGTGTGTGCAGAATGACAAAAGGATGTGTGCAACTAGGTCGAAATGGGTTGGGGTATAATGAGAAGTGGTATAATGTTTGTAATGTTAATGGTCTGTGCTAAACGATAAAAGGTTGTGTGCAACAAGTTCGAAATGGGTTGGGGTATAAGAGGGAATAAGAAAACGGAACGCTAAGTGTATATGGAGTATTCGTGTGGGATGGTGTTTGCAACTAGCCAAGACAGCTTGTGCAATCTGGGGTGGAGGTATACAGTATAACACTAACAGAAATGAGAAGTGGTCAAGTGTTTGTAGTATTATTGGTGTGTGCAGAGTGATAATGTGCGGGTGCAACCTGTTGGTAAGGAGGTAGTGTTTAATAAAAATAGATGAAAAAGAGACGACCAGAATTGACGTAGTATACCTGAGGGGCGGTGTGAGCAACGGTATGATATGGCCTGTGCAATCGATGTTGATGGGAGACGGTATAAGCCTAACAACAAATAAGAAAGTGGTAGAGTTGAAATACAATTATTGGTGTGTGGTACATGATAATGCGACGTGTGCAACCTAAAATAAATGAGTTATAGTATAATAAAAAGAGAAGAAGACGGAACGAGCAGTATTACTGTAGTAATAATTAGGGAGAGAGTGTGCAATCTGAGGATATGGAATGTGCAATCTGGGGTGGAGGGTACACAGTTTACCCCTACAAACAAATGAGAAGTGGTAGAGTTGAAATAGTATTATTGGTGTGTGGTACATGATAAGGCAACGGGTGCAACCTATTAGTAATGAGCTTGGGTATAATTAAAATAAAAGAAGATGGACCAAGCAATATTTACATAGTATTCCGACTCACAGTTTGCAATTTTGTTGTGATTTGTTTTTTTGTAATGCATATTGCTTTTTTATTTGTGAGTCGCTCTTATTTGAAGTGTAGTTTAATCAAAAGAATTGGTTTTCATATGTAGCAGGTGAGAGCAAAAATACTAATGACACAGCAACATGTGACATGGAAATCTCCCCTGGAAACACAACATACTGGGTCCCAAAATATGATGCGAAAATGAAACTAACCGTTGGGCAACAATTTAAGCGTCTTGAAGATGGCATAGAGTTTTACAAAAAATATGCTGCATTAGTTGGGTTTGATGTGCGACGTAGTGGTGATAGGAAAAACAAAGTGGGCAAAGTACTGCATAAATATTTGGTATGCTCACGTGAAGGATTTAAGCAAGTTGCATACCTCGAAAAAAGGGAAACAAGTGAAACGGTGAAAAGGCGTCGTCCATCAAACAGGGTTGGTTGCGGTGCACACATAAAATTTAATACAATCGGGAATGGTGGATACGAAGTGACATCATTTGAGGAAAGGCACACCCACCGTTTGTGCGAAGAACAGTCTAAACCATTCATGAAAGTGAATCGCAAGCTAGACATGGGGCATAAAGACTTCATCGAAAAATGTGGAAAGGTTAACATTGGAGCAAGCAAAAGCTTTAATCTATATGGAGAAATGGTTGGTGGAGTTGAACATGTCGGTGCAACTAGTACTGATTTCAAGAATCATAGGAGAAAGATATTGGCATACATGAAAGAACGGGACGCCCAAGAGCTTGTCGCCAAATGCCAAGAAAGAAAGGAGTATTGGCCAGATTACTACTTTGAGTATGCCGTAGACGACCAACAACAATTGAGTCGTATATTCTGGGCCGATGAACATGGACGCAAAAGCTTTGCCCACTTTGGAGATGCAATGGCGTTTGATGCAACATACAAAACGAACAGGTACGTTTTTTGTAAACCATGCAGCGATTTTTTTTTCCCGGCGTAAGAATGCGATGTACATAAGTGAAATAAAAATGCGGCCGAACGGAATTAGCCTAATATTGATGGGTGGTTGTTATGTGCAACCGTACATCACGCGTGTGCAATCTGTGAGAGACGAATGTGAATGTATTATGATTGAATAGTTTGTGGAAATGTTAAAGTTGTGAAAGTTAAGAAATATAAGGGAATTTATATAATACATGGATATCGTTTGTTGTGATGACTAACCAGGTGAAAACCGTACAGGTACAGTCTAGTGTTCGTACCATTCACAGGCGTGGACAACCACAAAAAGTCAACTACATTTGCAACGGGTTTAATTGCAAAAGAAGACGTGGAGTCATACACATGGCTGCTACACCACTTCAAACGTGCAATGGGCGGGGAACCAATATGTACGACTACAGACCAAGATCCAGCCATGAAAATAGCCATTGCAAATGTATTCCCTACAACACGTCACCGTTACTGCATGTGGCATATTATGACAAAAGTGAGCGATAAAGTGGGGGCTAATCTGGCAAAGAACGACGACTTCAGGAGACGATTGAATGATATTGTGTGGAAGAATAACTCAACGACCGAGGAATTCGAGAACGATTGGCATGAATTAACGATGAAACACGGTCTAGATGAGCACAACTGGTTTAATTTGATGTTTGAACAGCGTCGATTTTGGATACCTGCATACTTCACCGATGTTGAAATGAGCGGCTTGCTACGAACCACTTCGAGATCAGAGTCCCAGAATAGTGTGTTTAGAAGAAGCACCAGTAAATGGAAAAAAAAAATCACAGACCAATAAATAATCTTACAGCTAAAAACAAAATGGGGCCCGTAAATGGCTGAGACTTCTTACGCATCCATTTACCGTGACTATCAACCAAGCATTCTAACAAAAACTTACACCAATTAAGGTCTTTGATCTTATCAACATCTTCAAAGTGGTTGAAAATGAGTTGGTAAGCATACCCGTTACCCATAGTCGAGCAAAGTGTACTAACTACTAAAACTGCAAAATTAAGCTTGAACCACTCATCACCCTCTAAAAGATCACTAAACTTACGCCCAATCATGCCCAAGGTAACATCATATTTATCCCTAATAAACTTTCCCCTCCATTCCCTCAACTTGTCGCTGACATCATCTTTGGACCGCTTCGTGATGACAATCTCACCACGTGGTAAACCCAACACCGCCTGAACATCCTCCTCGCGGATATCAATCAAGCCTCCATTATCCAACCTAAGACACATGTTGACTGGATCAAATTTAGTCAAAAGCCACCACCCCATACGTTTAGGAATATCATGAATCTTCAAGTGAAAAAGTTTGTCTAAGCCCAACTCCCCCACCGCCCTTTTTTGACGGGGAGTAAACTTCTTCATTGGAACTACTAACTTGTACGCCGATGCACGGGTGCTAATCCGAGAAAAAATGGGAACTTCGTTACCGGCACCGTCTTGCCTCAGGCCTTGCATCGGTGTAGAAGAACGAACGCGTCCCACGGGAGGTGAAGAAACGAAGTCATCATCATTCGAAGAGTGAATTTCATGGCTTTCGATACGGACACCATTCCTAAATTTAGAACCTACACACATAGACATAACGACATATTCAAATATTGCACACACAGGAAATGTAGACTGCATAGACTTAACATAAATTGCACAGCAATGATGACAAGATAGAATAATATGAGTAAGAGCAAAAAAAAAAAAAAAAAAAACGATCAGAAAGATTCAACCAAGAAAGATCCAACTACTATTCTAGATGGAAAAACAAAACAAAAGCAAATCAAAAATAAACAAAAAAAAATAACAGAACCAGAATTAAAAAAAAAAAAAAAAAAAAAAAACACGTACACCAGATAAACAACTCACGTCTGCATCCCATCTTCTCCAACCGAAACCCCAACAGGTCACAAATTTAGGGTAGTCCATGAAAGTCTGTTATTGTGATTGCACACACTACACTACTAAACTCACACCAAAAAATCCCAGCTAAACAAAACACATTACACCGAAAAACAACATATATACTGAAATTACAAATTCGCAAAAACCAAAAAAAAAAAAAAAAAAAAAAAAAAGCAAAAAAAGAAACGCACAGAAAGATTCAACCAGAGAAAAGGAAAATAAATATAAATACATATATTATATAACAAAGGAAAAAAAAACACCATATCCAATATCCAACAAAAAAAAAAAAAAAAAAAACGCACACACACTCTCAAAAATTAACAGTGTATAACTAAAACTACTCTAACACAGTTCATGTCCAACTACTACTCTAGTTGGAAAAAAAAAACAGAAACAAACCTAAAATAAACAAAAAAAACATAGCAACAGCAAAAATAAAAATAAAAATTACAACTACACCAGATAAACAACCCACAGTCGAATCCCATCTTCTCCAATACACACCCCACCGCCGCACCCACCACCCACCACCCACCCCCATCGCCCCAGCCCATGCATGTCAACATAAATCAACTCCCCCACAAAAATCATGGCCAAACCCTAACCCCCCCCCCCCCCTCCAAAAAATAGGTGTAGTGGCGTTTAGTGTCAACCCCTAACAAAAAAAACATAAAGAGAAAAAATACCTCCTTCAGATGAACACGCAGGCTTGCGCTTAGACCGTCTAATACCGGAACCCTCCATAAAGTGGTTGAAGACAACCGAGCGAAATTGAGACTCCGACCGTGTGCAAGACCACCGCCGAAAACAAGACTTCCACCGTGTCCTAGTCGCCGGAACGACCACTGTGCAAGCAGCGACGACGAGGAAGTGCAGCGTTTACGTAAGCGGAAGACCACAATCCTTAGTAGCAGAGGACGAACGAAATTCTAATACAGGGAGAGTCCACCGAAAGAAGAATAATTGCAAACACCAAAGCCAAATAATGAATACAAAAAAAAACGCGTGCTTGGGAAGACAAATAGACAAATCGTGAAGGGAAAGAAATAATACTGAACCATTAAATCAGGGCTTACCATTAATAAAATAGATAGACCCAATTTAAATTACACAAAAACCCCTAAACGCATAACATATAAGCGGCAATAACTAATTCATCAACACCGTTAAGATTAAAGCTTGGATGGCTAAGATATATATATATATATATATATATATATATATATATATATATATATATATATATATATATATATATATATATATATATAGACACACACACACACACATAAGAGCTATATATAAGGCGGGAGTGGAGGGAGTAGCTGCCCCCACTGTAGGCCCGCCTCTGTTTATCTCCCACTTTCCTCTTTATCATATGTATTATATATGAAAATTCTTTCCAACACGGCGTTGTCAATGCATAGACAATCTTAATTTCCTGGAAGTGTTCCTCATATATAACACCAAATTGGTGTTTTTGTATTAATACAACGCAGCATAGCCACATGATGTTCAAGATATATTGTTTATTTGATGAGAATATATTTTCTGTGTATTGATAAGACCAGCGGATACAAAGTATATAAAGACATCAAATAGAGATCTAGTCTAATCTACTAATATAATAGAGATCTAGTCTAATACTACTAGTAGAGTCCTAATACTCCCCCTCAAGCATAATGTTGGTAAGCCAAAACATTGAGCTTGCAACAGAGTAAATTAAAACGCACAGACGAAAAAGACTTAGTAAAAATATCCGCTATCTGATCTTTGGTAGAAATAAAATTGACTTGTAATTCCTTCTTTGCGACTTTATCACGAACAAAGTGGTAGTCGATCTCAATGTTCTTGGTGCGAGCATGAAACACCGGATTAGCACACAGATAAGTAGCTCCCAGATTGTCACACCAGAATTTGGGCACAAAAGGTGGCGCATACCCGATTTCCTCATCAGAGAGACGAGCCAAGTAACCTCTGCAGAGACATCAGCCAGTCCTTTGTATTCAGCCTCAGTTGATGAACGAGCCACATTATGCTGTTTTCGAAAAACCCATGAGACAAGATTGGTCCCAAAAAACACAGCAAAACCACTAGTAGATTTGCGATCATCAGGATTGCCAACCCAATTCGAATCAGAATATGCATGAATATCTAGAGAAGGAGAAGAAGCAATCTTAAGACCAAGATGTAGTGTCCCATTTACATACCGTAACACCATCTTGGGAGCCGCCCAATCAGCAGTAGAGGGAGAGTGCATGTGCTGACACAAACGATTGACTGCATATGAAAGATCAGGCCGAGATACCGTAAGATATTGCAGAGCACATGCAAAGCTGCGATACTAAGTGGGATCAGCGTATGGTACCACGGCAACAGTCTCGGCCTTCGTGGTTGAAACCGAAGTGGCCACGGGCTTGCAATCAACCATACCTGTTCGTTTTAGAATATTCATCATGTACCGTTGTTGAGACAGAAGCATGCCATCAGACAACGGAACGGTCTCAATACCTAGAAAAAACGAGGGCACACCCATATCACGAACTTTAAACTCAAGAGCCAACTTGTCAGTAAGAGCAGTCACATGAGCCGAATTAGAACCCATAACCAAAATATCATCCACATAAACCAGAAAATATAGACGAGTATTGCCATGTGAATATATAAATAAAGAGACATCCATCTTGGAAGGTGAGAAACCAACGGAAACCAGAAAATCATGCAAAAGAGTGAACCAAGCACGGGGAGCTTGCTTAAGCCCATATAAAGAACGTTGAAGAGACAAACGTGCCCGGGAATCATTTTGTCTTCATAGCCAGGGGGCTGGCGCATATAAACCGTCTCAGCGAGATTGCCATTTAGGAAAGTATTGTGTATGTCCAACTGTCGAATAGTCCATCCATGAGAAATAGCTAAGGATAAAAGAAGACGTACCATAGTCGGTTTAACCACAGGACTAAAGGTCTCAAAGAAATCCTCACCAGCAACCTGATTAAATCCCTTGGCAACCAAACGAGCCTTGTAATGCTCAATCGAACCACCAGCTTTCCTCTTGGTTCTAAACACCCACTTATAGCCAACCACATTCATACCTGATTTAAAAGGAACAAGCCGCCATGTATTGTTGTGCACGAAGGCATTAAATTCCAAATCCATTGCATCCCGCCATTCGGGAAATTTGACCGCTTGAGTAAAACATGTAGGCTCAGTAGTGACGTCAATAGATAGAGCAACATGGTCATGCGGTCCCGA